TTCCTGCTCCTCTGATGCTGCTTGGCCTGCTGTGTTCATCCAGCTCTACACCTTGTTATCTCAGATTCTCCAGCATCTGCAGTTCCTACTATCAGCTGTTCTTTTGCTCTTTTAAACAAATATGGGAGATTCCAGCCTGTTTGCTGGTAGTATATTTGACTGTGAATGTATCACAATTGAATTGGGGTTAGAGCTGCTCATGATGACTCTCCAGAAACTTTCCATTGGAAATGTTGATGATGCTGGAAGTCTAAAACTAAAACAAATTGCTGGAGAAACTCAGATGGTCTGGCAGCATCCATAGTGGGATACAGAGTTCGAGTCCAATGACCCTTCTTCATATTGATGTATAGATGGCTCCAGGAGAGTTTCCAATTGAGATAACAGATTGTAGAGCTGGATGAACACAGCAGACCCAGCAGCATCATAGGAGCAGAAGGGTCTAGGCCCGAAACGTCAGCCTCTCTGCTCCTATGATGCTGCTTGGCCTGCTGTGTTCATCCAGCCCTGCACCTCTACACAATGGGAATTCACCTTTGGTGCTCTGATAGTTCGTATCTGTATTTTAATAGCCAACAGTATATTTGATATGTCAGTCCAGGGGAAACAACGGTATTTTCAGATTTTGACCCCTGAAAATATTACAACTCCTAATTACATTTGGCGTGCGTGGATGTAACTTAAATAAACAAGGGTGGTCGTGAAAATAACCCCGCCCTGATGTTGAGCAGCATTATCCTTCGGGCTTTAGCACAAAAACAGAAATTGCTGGAAAAGCTCAGCAGATCTGGCAGCATCTGTGAAGAAAACAAAAATCAGAGTTAACGTTTCGGGTCCGGTGACCCTTCCTTAGAACTGGACCCGAAAAGTTAACTCCGATTTTTTTTTTCTTCACACATGCTGCAAGACCTGCTGAGCTTTTCTAGCAACTTTGTTTTTGCTCCTCATTTACAGCATCCGCCGTTCTTTCGGGCTTTAGCACTTTCGGTGGTTTGGAGTGGGTCAGTTCCGATATATATGTCAGACTCGAAATCAGCTCTTCGCACACGCAACAAAGTGCTGCGTTGTAGCGTTCCCACTGAGTATCCTTTACATAAATAGAACTGGCAGCGGGGAGGGTTTTAGTTCCTTTCTGCCTCCGCGGCGCGGCTGGTCTTTGCAGACAAACAAGAAAATGAGGTGTTGTCATGTGTAGTGTATGTGAGTGTGAGTGACCTCAGTGTGTGCAGACAGGATACAATGCAGTGAGGGTGGAATGGGGATGGGAGAAGGGACGGTGCTCTCTGGGAGCGGTAATAAAAATGCAGCAGGAACTGGCCCTGCAGCGGCTCATGTTGCTGTTCACACGGTCCCGCCGCAGACCCGCAGTCGCCCGGAGCGAGTTGCTACTTTGCAGTCCGCGCCGCCGCCGCCGCCGCCGCCACTTTCCCACGCTCCCCACCAGCTGCGCGCGCGCGCGCGCACACACGGGCTTGCGTTCTCTCCCACACCGCGGCCGGCGGCGGCGCGCGCGCGTCCCCCCACCCACCCACCCTTGACGGGGGCGCGCGAGCTGTCAATCAGCGCCCCTGGTGGAGGGGGGCGGGATGGACAGGTCACTGAGGGCCGAGCTGGTAAGCGCGGTACCGTGGGAAAGCCAGTCAGTACAGCCCAGGCAAGCGAGCGGGCAGGATCTGCTGGCAGCCCCATTCATTCATATGTTACACCGCGACAACTGAGAGCAGCATGAAGAGGACTCACGACTACAGCTCGTCGGACAGCGAACTGGACGAAACGATCGAGGTGGAGAAGGAAAGCGCCGATGAAAATGGGTAAACCGTGGCCAGTAGAATTTCAGTGTGCAAATGTAATCTGCAGATTACAACTCTCATTGCAACTCTCGGAGCTGATAGCTAACAATGACAAAAGTCCTACTGCCGCTGCACATTCACTTCTAGGACTTGCATTTTGTTAAACAAACTTGGGTTTATGCACAGACAAAAAGTGAGGTTGCTGGAAAAGCTCAGCAGGGTCTGGCAGCATCTGAACTGTTCTGAGGAAGGGTTACACGACCCAAAACCCAAAACGTTAATTCTGATTTCTCTCCACAGATGCTGCCAGACCCTGCTGAGCTTTTCCAGCCCTTTCTATTTTTGCTTCTGATTTACAGCATTCACATTTCTTTCAGTTTTTACACATTTCCGATTGAAGTAAACTTTCTGTAGAACTTTCCGTTTTGTACCTGACTGCTGATCCCAATTTGTGGATTTCAGGAACTTCAACGCAGTCACAGGCTCCATGTCCCCCAGTCCATCCTCTCAGGTCCTGGCTAGGAAAAGGAGGAGAGGGGTAAGTTTGACGCAGCCCTGCTGAGAACTGTTTTGTTTTGTTGCGTGTAGCCTAAACGAAAATTGTTTCCCCTCACTTTGCCTGGCTCATTGCTCAGAGGAAATCTATTTCGTTTTAAACAGATCATCGAGAAGCGCCGCCGGGATCGTATTAACAACAGTTTGTCAGAACTACGCAGACTGGTTCCGAGTGCTTATGAGAAACAAGTATGAAAACAAGTCCTTAATTAAAACATAATTTGAACGTTGAGAAATAAACAGCTTGCTTAATTAAAAAAAAGTTCAAGTATTTATTAGAGTTAAGTAAATTTAAATCGCAATGAAGCCAACTCTATTCTATCAGAATGCAAATCACATTTTGTGTCGTGCTGGGACACAATTGACTGGGAAAGGTCGGTCTCACACGGGTCTTTAATTGTGATTCGTTGTTGCTGTTGGCAGGGCTCCGCCAAACTGGAAAAGGCAGAAATTTTGCAAATGACTGTTGATCACTTGAAGATGCTGCATGCGGCCAGTGGCAAAGGTAACATTTTGTTGGCATTTCTAGAATAGATCGCTTGGAAATGTCATTGGTTCGGATATACTTTATAAAAGTTAGGAGGTACATAAAAAGTGTAGGACCACTCCCCCACCAAATTATTAAAAGGCTTTAATTCTGAAATTGAAGTGCTGAGTGATCTGAAGAATCTAAAAATTTTAACCCTGTTTCTCTCTCTACAGATACTGCAAGGCCTACTGAGTTTCTGCAGCAATATCTGTGTTTGTTTTAGTTGATTTCTAAATTTGTTCCATCATGGCTTTTCAGTTGTGAAAATCTCAGGGAACAACATCATCCTAAGCCATGTCTCAGATCAATCATCTGTCAAAGATTCTTCAATATGGTATCTCACCATTGTGCAGTTTAGCTGTTGTGTAAACATTAATTGGTTTTACATTCCATAAAACATAGCAATGAACTTCCACTGTGTGTGATGACAAAGACTATTTTTAGATTGAGAAGATGGAAATGTTTAAAGTTTAATTTTATGTAATTAACCAAAGATAAATAAACCTCAGATCTAGAGGTTTATCTTTATGAGCTATCTCCATCACTGTAAGATGCCTTTAAAATCTTTCTGTTTGATCAAGCCCTCCTGGTAGCTATGTTTTTTGGTTCTGTGCCAGTTTTTATGTGTTTACTCTTGTGAAGACTTGCTACATTAAAGGCACTACATACATGCAGTTTGTTGCTCTAAGATGTTGCACAGAAGACCCCTTTTATAAGCTTGACATTTTTATAAAGTAGAACTTTGAAGGTTGCCTTAAACTGACTTCACAGTTGCTACAGTATTTGTAACTTTCAAATTAAATTTATTTTAATTTTATTTAATTTAATAGGTTATTTTGATGCTCAGGCTCTAGCTATGGACTACCGTAGCCTGGGATTTCGAGAATGCTTGGCTGAAGTGGCTCGGTATTTGAGTATTATCGAAGGCCTGGAGAACACTGACCCTCTCTGTGTGCGTCTGGTCTCTCACCTCAATAACTATGCATCTCAGAGGGAAGCTGCAAGTGCTGCAACCCCTAACATTGGACACCTTTCCTGGGGAACTGCCTTCAGCCAGCACCCACATCATCATTTGCACCCGATCCTCCTGCCACAGGCTGCCCACAGTAACAATAGTACTACTGCCTCGACGGAGCTGCACCATCAGAACAGGATTGGCACATCCTCGCATGCAGATACCTCTCCACTTAGAATGGCTCCTAATTGCAGTGTCGGTCCAGTCATCCCAGTGGTCACCTCCTCCACCAAACTGTCCCCACCTTTGTTCTCAATGTCATCCTTGTCTGCATTCCCTCTGTCTTTTAGCACTTTCCCCTTGATTTCTCCCAGCAGCTTCAGTTCATCAGCTCAGACTCCAACAAACAGCATTGGCAAGCCCTACAGACCTTGGGGGACAGAGATTGGGGCTTTCTAAAGACTCTTCTACAGGATTGTCATGCCTTATGAAATGCTGAATTCTCAGCTGAGCTGAGGTATTACCAACATAATTGCCATGGAATATTCAGGATGTGCTTCCAATCACTGCAGACAAATAATGTACAATGGCAAATCAATCTGAAATCCTGTGAATGTGGCTACATAATTGGCCTCTTTGGCTCAAAATTATACAACAATGTTCTTATATGAGCGGTCTGACTCTTTCATTCTTGAAATTGTCAGTATTCAGACAAAAAAAATTTCTAGAAGTTGATTTTATTAGTGAGACTAGTCAAAACAAGCAGTATGCCAGCTTGCTTCAAGGCTCCAGAGACCATTTCAGACAGTTTTATCAGTTTTCTAGGAGCTTTGAGTATAAAAGTTATTCATTTGTTTAAGAGATGTCTAATATAAAATTGGATTAAATTTATTTGTCTTAAATTCTTATTCTTTATTCCATAAAGGAATAAGCAGTGGTATGTTTAAAAAGCTGCATTTTTAAATTAATGCAGGTTGTGCTTAGATATGGTATAAAGTCTTCCTGTTACAAAGGCCTGTGTAAGTAATTGTGGCATTGTACACAGCCTGTGGTTAGGCAGTTAAATTTTCCATGTCTTTGTTATTTGGTTAGCTAAATATTGCCTGAAACTGTTAAGTTACTACCTTTCAACTGTTTCAAATGGAACAGATTTATTGTTAATCACAAGTGGCACCATCCATCTATTTATTTTGTGCTAACATCTGTGCCGTGCATGACTATCTACAAAGTCAACATTACATGCCTTATACTCGACAAAAAATATAAAAATAACAAGATCAACATGTAAAGACCAATACACTGGTGTCCCGAATTACTAAAAATGCCTAAATAGTGTAAATATCTTTTTCAGTGATATTTTATATTATTAATGTTGCTGAATGGAGCGATGACAAATCAGATTTCCAGCTTTTTTTTCAGCGAGTGTTAGATGCTAAAGATTTTTCAATGCTGAAACTGTTAATTTTTGCAAGGTAATAGCAGGTGCAGTGTTCAATTACTGTGTATTGGTTTGTGCTGACTTTACTAAACAGGAGAAGTAATAAACTATAAGTGCAATTGAGTATAATTCAATTACATGTGTTTTCTCTGAGAATTGTTGCTGTTTGTGATTTGCAATTATGTACAGTATTAAAGTTTATAGACTGGTTATTTAATGGTGATCTTCAGCAGTTTTCATCGTAATGCTGCAACTGTAATTTAAAAACATGTAGACAAAGGAACAGCTTATAATTCTTTTTATCTTTAATGAACAATGACCCTGTGGCCCTATAGAAATAAATTGCATTCATTTAGCTGCTATATTTTCCCTAGCACTGAGGAGTAAGTTCATACCAATGACAGAGTTGATACAGATTAGTTTGTATGCATAACAACATTTGGCAGTCAACAGCACACTGCTCTTTGGATTCAAATGTTTCCTGAACAGGGTTAAAATTCAGTATTGCATCTGCTGATGAACAGAATACTTAAGATGTGTAACCCACAAATGGGAATTTTGTGTGTGTGAGTGAATATCTGTCTAGATATTACCTCGTTTTTTGGAAATGGATGAGTATCTTTATCTATGTGCAACCTCTGCTCATGCTGGAGGTGGGCCTCTTGGGTATATTTCCATTTGAGCACTGGAGGAAGGTGCCCCAGCTTCTGCTGCCATCTAATGCTAGACAGTTGGTGGAGACTTTCTGCTTGAACCAGGGGAAAGGTGACCACTGAGTAGCCTGCAAAAACATCTTTATTGGATATTGATAAGGCCTGAGTAGGCTATGTTACAGGAGACCATGGCAGACCATGACCATTTTGATATTGTAATCCTGGACCCCAACATCCAGTGGTCATTCATGACCATCAGGAGTAATTATTGCCAGAGACTACATTTTCCTTAATCCAATTGACCGATGTCTGTCCCATACGGGTAGACATATTTGGAGTCCCTGGATTTAAGTCCTGAAGGATTAGACCATGCAAACATGCTTCTGGCCATGCCTGCCTGTTAGATACTTTCAAGTACTGTATGACATTTGGAATCTGTCTAACGTATGAGAGGTAAAGGTTTATTATACAGCATTTGAAAGTGTCTGTAGCAATTTTTAACTAAGAAGAGAAACCTTTCGCAATCTGAGGTCATCCCAAAGCAGTTTTCAAGCAAAGAATTTCACTTCTCATAGTCACTATTAGGAAACACAGCATCTAATTTGTAAACGTAAATGGCTCACAAATAGTTAAGTGATAAAATCAGCATCGTTTATTTACATAGTGCCCCTAATGCATTCAATTTTACACCAATCACTAAAAATTATACCATAGGTTTGCAAGACCAAATCAAAGCAATCAAACCTTGATTATGCCGTACTTAATGTACCATGTGCTGTTCTGGTCACCATATTGCAAAAGAGGATAGAGACATTGGAGAGATTGTAGAGAAGATTTATAATAATGACACTAGATATACATGAGCATATATATCCGGAAATAATTGACAGGCTGGGAATTATTTCTGCTGGAGGAGGTGACCTAATAGACATGTTTTAAAATTATAAAAGTTTTTGTTAGATTGAATACAGAGAAGTGTTCTTATTGCAAGTGGATTTAGGGATGAACAAATGCTGACCTATTAGCAATGATCCATCTCATGAAAAGGCAGGAAAGATTAATTTGATATAGACACCAAAAAATCAATAGGGAATTTGGAAGAAACCTCTATCCAAGAGTGGTGAGAGATTGAACCTTATTACCACTAGGAGTGGTTGAAAGGAATCATACCGATGCATTAAAGTGGAATCTAGACAAGCATCTGCAGGAGAAGGGAATGGAACATTACAATAGTGGATTTAGGTGGAAAAATATAGCGGGAGGCTTGACTGGTGTGTAAACAGAGGCATGGTCAGGTTGGGCTAACATCTGTTTCTGTGCTGCATATCATCTGTAATCAGGAAAGATATTGGAGAATGTGCATTAGAAACACATCTGGTAGATGGGTGAGTCAGGGAATCACAGAGAGTATGGTTCCATTGGAAACCCATTTCATGCAATACCGTTTGATCTGATTGTAACCTCAAATTCACTTTTCCTGCCTACCCCTGAAAACCTGTCACTCCATTGCCTGACAAGAATCTATCTACCTCTAACTTAAAAATCTTCAAAGACTTTGCTCCCATCATCTTTTCAGGAAGAGAATTCCAAAGACTGAATACCCTTCAAGAGTTAAAACTAGCCAAACCTGTTTTAAATGGGTAACTATGATTAATGATCCCTAGGTCTAAACTCTCCCATGAGAGGAAACATCCTTTCACATCTACCAAGACCTCTCAGGATTTTTAATGTTTCAATCAAGTCACCTCTTACTAATCTAAACTCCAGAGAATATAGACCTAGATTTCCAGGCAGCTTGCCTGACATTGGTACTGGAGAAGCAGGAACTTCAACTAAAGACTGGGAAAACCAAAGCCATTCAATCCACTAGGTACTGAACCTGCTCCTGTCTGATCTCCAATATTTAAGTTCTGATGCAGGGTCAGTATCTATAAAATAATCCTAGCAGGCCAAGCAGCATCAGAGGAGCAGGGCCCTCTGATGCTGCTTGGCCTGCTGTGTTCATCCAGCTCTACACCTTGTTATCTCACATTCTCCAGCATCTGCAGTTCCTACTACCTCTATAAGAACGTTAGTGCAGTTACTACACAAGGTAGCGTGCGCCCTCTGGTGGCCAAATCCATTTCTTTTCGCGTGAATAAACCTGTACTTTGCAATTGACGTCAGTGGGGATAGAAAACTTGCACCTGGGACTGTGCACAAGAAGAATTTGCATGGAATTACTTAGAATATGCAGCACAGAAACGGGCAATTCATCTTAAATAGTCTGTACTCCACACAAGCCTCCTCCTATTGTATCTACTTCATCTCAATAGTAATATGGTGCCGTTATTTAAGAAAGGCTGTAAGGAAAAGCCAGAGAGCTATAGACTTGTGAGCCTTACGTCAGTGATGGGTAAGTTGTTGGAGGGGATTCCGAGATTCCTCCGTCTGCTTCAATGGCCTTTGTTGTGGTCAGTGGGAAGAGGTCTGACATTCTGTCTGACACCCTGCCCATTGGCACCTTGAAAAATTTCTCTAGGAAATGGGGAGCTAACTTATTTTTTCTTCTGTGACATGAGTTAGAGAGGTGAGCACCCAAGTGTGACAGATCATGGCTTGCAACCAAACTTTAAATATAACACAAAAGCTTCGGAAGCCTGGAAATCCTAGCAGTAATAACTACTTAAGTTTCATTTGCCATCTGAATCACTGAGTAACATGCCCAGCATCTCGCATAAATAATGTGGTGAGGAATGATGCTATGGAATCCTCTCACCACCATCATTTAACTACAAATGAGTAAAATCCTGGTCAGTATGTATTTTGGATCCCGACTGTAGATTTTCCCATAAGTCATCTATCTGGCCAGTCTAAATTTTTCTCCTTACTGAAGGAGCAAAGGCCCCACCTGTTCATTCTTGCCCAGCAGTTATATTCTTTCTGTTGTAGTATCCAGGAGGCCCGGTTTAATTCCAGAGTTTTGCTCCAGAGGTATCCCCAAGCAGGTTGGTTAGAAAGTATCTCCTTATAAATCTTCGTTGTATTTCCACCACAACAGTAATATCCTTTCTATGACCTGGAGACCAGAACTTACACAGCTCTCTGAAGTGTATCTTAACTAGGATCCTACAGTCATAGAGTCATACATCACATAAACAGATCCTTTGGTCCATCTCATCCGTGTTGACCAAGATTTTTTTCTCTTTCTTTCACTTCTGCTCTTTCTTTTTCTTCCTTTCTCAGCAGCAGTGGTCCCCCAGAGTCTCGGCAGCAGCACGAGTGGTCCCCTACCTGGAGTTCAGCAGCAGTGGGAGTGGTCTCCTTTCCGATGTGGTTCCTGGGTGTGTTGGCAGCGGCGGGAATGGTCCCCTTTCCAGGGGGTTGACAGCGGAGAGTTCTTTGCTGAAATGGTCCTAGGAGGCGCGCAGACTCATTGGGGTGACAACGTCGGTGGAGGCAAGATGGTGCCGAAGAATGGTGACGCGGTTCCACTGGCGCGGCTCCAGGATATGGCTGGGCCTGGGTACCAGATATCGGAGGCAGTGGTGTTCCAGTGGTGGCAGTATGCGGGGACTTGGGGCACTTCACTGTTTGCCGACGGAGGGATGGACTTTGTGGCTTTGCTTTGCTGGCAGTGAGAACTCGGTGTGGAGGCAGGGGGAGTGATCTGGACGTTTCCTTTTCTTTTGGCTGTTTCTTTTATTTCTGCTTCTGTTTTTAATCCTGTCTTTTGTATACCAAAGATGGCACAGAGATTGGCTACTTTGTACACTTTTCACTGTACACCTGTATTCCTGTACTTGAGTACTCGTGACAATAAAATCCAAATGTAAATTTAAATCTAAATTAAATCTGAACCTAAATCTAAATTTAAGTTTCCCAAACTAAACTAGTCCCACTTGCCTGTGTTTGGCCCATATATCTCTAATCCTTTCCTATTCATGTACCTGTCCAATGTCTTTTAAGTGTTATAACTGTACCTACACGTATCACTTCCTCTGGCAGTTCATTCCACATACAAGCCACCCTCTGTGTGAAAAAGTTTCCCCTCGGGTCCCATTTAAATCTTTCTCCTCTCACCTTAAAATTATGCTGTCTAGTTTTGAACTTCCCTACCCTTTGCTATTCTCCTTATCTATACCCCTCATGATTTTAGAAACCTCTATAAGGTCACCCTTCAACATCCTGTGCTTCAGTGAAAAAAGAGTCCCAGCCTATCCAGCCTCTCCTTATAACTCAAACTCTCTATTCCCAGTAACATCCTGGTAAATCTTTTCCACACCCTCTCCAGTTTAATCATATATTTCCAATAGCAGGGTGACCAGAACTGTACACAATACTGCAAAAGTGACCTCACCAGTGACTTGTACAACGGAGACATGGCATCCTAACTCTTATATTCAGTGGTCTCAGCAACGAAGGCAAGCATGCTAAACACCTTCTTTACTGCCCTGTCTACCTGTGGCACAACTTTCAAGGAACTGTGTAT